GAGAAGGAGAAAGAGGAAAGTGGCTAAGCACATTTCTTTGAAAATCTCCTTTGCTACAGTCCAACATCCTTGGCATCAGCCTTTGCCTTGCTTTCACAATAGAAATGCTGCAGTGGGCCAGCATTAATCAGCCCCTCAAGCAGTCGTGAGGTTTCTATAAAACTTAATCAGTCTGCATCCTGGAAAGAGTCATTGGTCTTCCAACCATTAGCATTTCAACTTTCCTGAAAATTTTTCCACGTCAGGTTGCCATTTTCCATTAGTTTCTTGACTTTTATTAGAGTACCTGTTATAAGATTCAGGGATTCGAATGCAAGGGAGGAGTACAAAAAGGCAAGAACCCCTCTTATCTGTGTTATTAAACCCTTTGGCAGATTTCTTTTTGGACATGGAATAACATTTTTTCCTCAACACAACTCTCTTCCAATGCCCTCCTCATGAAGAAACTTCTAGCAGCAGCTGAGTTGGCAAAGAGATCAAGCCAGAAGTCTAGTATGAACAATGTTTTAAATTAAAGGCTCCACAAGGCCTTTACCATCTACAAACACCATTTGTTTTAACTAATCCTTAGTGTAGGCCAGAAATAATGATTTATGAACAATCTGCTCCTCTTGATTACACAGCAAAACAAGAACACAAAAAAATTCCTGGATAAACATGGTAAGAGCTGCTTGGATGCAGAGCCAGACTCATAAGATAATAAGGGACATTTTCAAGGCCAGAGTCAAAAGAATCAGATGGTCAGCTGACCCAAAGCAGTGTCTGTCTGGGGAGAGATTTTCTGATCTCAATAACGTATAGGTATGCTTTAGCAGCCTTTCATTTAGGTCTCAGAATTGAGTCTTCTGCCTAAAATTAGGTCCTTGAGTGAGTGGCTGGGTTTTCTGTATGTGTTCCTCAAAAGTCATGACCATAACTGTTCAACATTTTAGAGTTCAAATTTAAACTACTTGGCTAGGCATAGTGGATCATCCCTATAATCCCAACACTAAAGAGGCCGAGACAGGAAGACCCAAAGTTCAAGGCCAGTCTAGAATATACAAATGAGACCCTGCAAAATAAAAGTAAAAATGTATATTTGTAGCTAACAAGAGAAAGTCTGAATCCTCTACCTAAGCCTCGCAGGATTCCAGAGATGAATTCTAGAGGACTTCTTGATTGATCTCTTCCCCTGCTTCGCTGCTGCTCTTAAGTTCCTTGTCATTGGAAGAGAGTTGTGTGGAGGAGAAATGTTACTCTTAATCTGAAAGGCCATGAACTCACAATCCAAAATTGTTCAAAACTTAGTTTATTGTTCAGACTTCTTGGAATTTTACTATACACATGAAAAAATCAAGAGAGCAGAAACTGGCTGGAGAAGTCAGGCTCTATCAATAGTATTGTCTTTATGCTCTCCAAAGCTATTGATGGTCATTCAAGAGCAGATGCATGTAAGATTCCCAAAGTGTCACCACTTCTCCTGGACCAGAAAATGGGTGTCTAAGACGTCACCGCATTTTGGAATTGGAACCCATAAAAACCATAGGATTACTTATTCAGAGCAGAGCACTGAAAACTGTAATCCTAGCTACTCAGGAGCCTGAGATCTAAGGATCAAAGTTGGAATCCAGCCCAAGCGGGAAGTACTTGAGACTCTTAGCTCCAGTTATCTACCAGAAAGCAGAGATGGAGCTGTGGCTTACAGAGTAGAATGCTACCCTTGAATAAAAAAGTGAAGGGACAGTACCCAGGCCCTGAGCTCAAATCCTACTACCAGCACAAAGCAAAAATTAAAACAAAAACTATACAGGCACTAAAAGGAATAAAGTGCTCTATAAAAATTCCACTATTAAATATCTTAAATTCTTAATTAAAATACATTAAGTAATACTTGTATGATTTGGGATGTTAGAAAAATGAACCACACAGAGTCCTTGTGGACAGGAGTGTAGTGCAGGCCTGTTGTTTGGTAGCAGGGCCAATGGGAAGGAAGGACATTATTAGGGTGAAATGTCACCACACCAGAGGTGCAAGGCTGTGACTCACGATCCTGTTATTCATTCTGCAGTGGCTAAAAATAAAAAATTGACTTTTGTTGTTTTGCCTCTTTTCACTACCTAAAAGAAAAAGAAAGAAAATGAGAGAAGACTAAAAGAAAGGAATTAGGAAGGGAGGGAGGGAGGAAGGGAGAGAAGGGTGTTCTGTGTACTCATAGACATCCCGTCCAGCTTTACCATTTGAAATAGCCATCTCTTTTTTATCTATTGGAATAGCCATCTCTTGACTTCACATTTTGCCTGTCTGGATCACACTCTTTAAGACTGCCCCACTGAGGGGCAGCTGCTTCTTTCTTAGGGCAGGCTGGTAGTGTTTGGGCTCTGAGCAGTGGGAAGACCTCGATCATCCTTCCTGATAGACCATCCAACCAGATGGGAAGGGTCTACTTCCTGTTTACCTAGACATGAAGACATTGCTTTCAGAAGCTGGAGTATCCCACTTACAGTGTATCAGTGTAGAATCTAGATTACCAACTAATTCTCCTGTAGTTAGTATTTAGCAAGTCATGAGTTATCTTTTGAGTTCTCCTCTGGGTCTGGCACACTGTCGATCTAACGTAGACATTCAATAGATACCTAATAAATTAAACCAAGGAGCATCCCCAAAAATGAGCTGGTCTGAGTGGTAAGCTATTTTATGCCCCCTGACCACTATGTGGACAGCAACAGTTTTCTGAATCACTGGCTTCTCTGCATCTCCATCTGGAATCCACCTTACATAGTCATCTGGTAGATGGCAGGATAGGGGAACAGCATTGGTCAAAGACATAACAAAGGCAGGAGCAGATAAGAAAGGAAAGAGAGATCCCCTCTGTACAGTATTTTCACAATAAAAATTTTATTTTAAAAAAAAAGAAAAGAAAGGCAAGACAGAATATTGATCATACATATTATCTATGGAATGCCTCCTCTATACCAGGCATGTAACATACAATTGCTCATCATGACTTAATTCCTGCAAGGTTTGTGTTCTACTTGACAGTGGAGCTCAGGGAGGTGAAGACATGACTCAGATCTTCACAGTCAGGAGAAGGAAGGTCTAGGGTTTACATTTGATAGCTGTGCTGGGATTCTATGCAGGAAAGAAGCCAAAATAAAACTGCTGCTCTAACCAGATCCTATTCATAGACACAGATTTGACATGCCTCAAAACTCTGTCAGCTGCTGTGTTCCAAACATTTGGGTCTTCTACTCATTTTCCTGCCTTTCTTTCAAATCACTGCCTGCCTCCCCCCCCCCCAGATCCTCACCCCTTCCTCCAGTTTCCAAGCATTTCCTGTTTCAAAGCAAGTCACTGCCCCAGGGATGATGGGAAATCAACATTGGACAGTGATGGTTCTCCCCAGAGGTTTCCATAAGGAATTCTAAGCCAAGGTTGAGTGGGTGAGAAAAGCATGGCTCCCACAATGGCCAGGAAGTGGAGGAAGATGAAATGATAGTTCAAAACCTCAGGAGCCCTTTATCTCTGCTTCTTCAGTTAATTGAATACTGGGCTTTCAGATACTTGGAATTTCATTTCACTGGCTGAAGTTGGTAGTCTGCCCCATTGTACAGAGATAGCATTATGGATAATGGGTAGGGTTCCCGTCTTCACTCTCCAACTGACCCTACTGAGGTCTCAGAATTATAAAATCCCAAAGGGAGATGAACTTGATGTGGACATGTGAGGAAGAGCTTGATGCCAGTTGAGGGTCCTGTCTGTAGCCAGAGATGAGCTCCCTGAATTGATGGGTCTCATGGGCAGTCACCAAACACTCACCTACACTCAGCCCTGATGCTAAGACATCAAGTTATCTGTGATGAGTTCAGGAGTCCTCTAAAGAAAAGTGATGCTTTAGAGGAGCCAAAATTCCAACAAGTTCGGAGTGAGGGTCAGAAGCTCCCAAGGAATATATTGGGTCACAGTAGACAATAGTCCAAACTGCATGTAAGAGACCCTAACTCCAGCTAACTTCAAGAGCATTTCTTTGATGAGTGGGATGAACAGATTGGAGATAAGCATACCACCCAGCCATCTTTATTCCCTATTCTTCTCCCCTGGGTCATCTATCCTCTCATGGGGAAGAGGCTCTCCATTATAAACCTGTTCTAAATGTCCATGCATCTCTTGACCTTGATAATGGGGCCATTGCAGAATACCCTCTTACCAAATGGTTGTGAAATCTTTATGTCTCTAAATGCCAGTGGTCTGAGAGAGATCCATGGCCATTCCTCCTTCACTGCCTTCAGGCAGGGGTTGCTCAGCCTGACCATCATACCTTCTCTCCATGAGAAGAATCACTAGAGTCCATGACAGAGGATTTCTGGTCACCTAGGTAAAGCCCATACTCAGCTCATTTTTGTAGTACAGTCGTAACTTCCATTGTGTAGTCATCCTTCATTAGATGTATAGATGGTTGGATAGATGGGTGACTGATTTAGTGTATAACTAACTAGACAAATAAATGAATGCATATATTTGTAAGCTAACTACCTAAAGTAAGTAAGAAATTAAAAATATCAATTTGGGAGCATTTGTCTCTATACAAAACTTACACATTGAAAATATAACCAACAAATGGTAGTGCTAAAGGTGAACAAATGCAGCAGTGGTACTCACTAGACACTTGAAAATGTGGGTGGGTTTGGGAGGAATATCTGGGAGAGAGCAAGGGAAGGGATGACATTGTCCAAAAAGAAACATACTCATTACCTGACTTCTGTAACTATAACCCCTCTTAACATCGCTTTTATAATAACGAAAAGCTATAAGAAAATATATCCATCAATCTGGGTCCTACTCTAACTAACTGAGCTACTCTGTCCAGATAGTTCATGACACAGATTGTCTCCCTTGCTTGAGCCATCTCCAAGGTAATTATGGCCACACAACCAAAGACCAAAGCAAGTTAACCAAAGAGAAGGCTTTTAGAAAGCAGATGGCTGAAGACTTCCATTGATTTGTCCTTTTCTTTTTCTTTACAGATTATCAAGGAAGTCCCTCCACCCCCTGTAGAGGAGAGTGAGGTAAGTAGCCACACGGGCAGGGTGGCAGAATGTGATGGGAAGCTAGTTGGACCCTTAGTCCCCTGCCAAGCAGGATCTGGACCCCACTGTGTGTGAAGCAGCAGGAAAGGAAACCTTTATCCAAATACAAACAAAGGATGAACAAGCACTGAACTAAAGACAGAATGGTATCCTCCCGCAGAGAAAAGATTTAAGATGCAAACACTGATGTTATCAGTACAGTTATTTGGAGTTGGGAGGATCTGATTTTTCCTCTAAAACACTTTAGAGAAAAAATCTTCTCAGTGCAGAGTTATGCTTTATGTATGCAAATCAGTGAAAATTTGCCACGTTCTCCAAATAATCGTTGGTTCTAGGAACAGCCCGGTGCTAAAGTATTCCAGTTTTCTTTAATTTAAAACAGCATTACCTAAAGATTTGCCAGACAGTAATGAAAATATGCTGGAGGAGGATATGCTAATATCCTGGCCTCAGTCTCAAATCCTCATCATCTAGAGGAAAAAAGAAATTGTATATCCTACTACCAAAAGGACCAGTAAGCAGTTCTGATGCAGAAGTGGCCTGGCATGGAAAATCATGGGGCATGGAAAATAAGGGCCAATCATGAAGAAGATCATCTCAGGGCAGGAATGCCTGGCTTAACTGGAGTTCCCAGGAACAATGCTGACCAATTTAAAAGCCAGATGATGGAGCTAGACCCTTAGCAGGACCCAAAGATACACTGATAAGTTTTCAAGTTCTTACCTCAATCCCTGAAGCCTACCATTGCATGCAAACCTGCTCATCTCTCTCTTTCCCAATGCTTTTGTCCAATTTCCTGCATATAGAAAGGAAGATGATTACATTTAAAATTCCATGTGTCTCTTATGTGCTAGACCATATGCATGTAAGCCCAGGGATTTAATAGCTGCAATCAATTAAAGCACATCTTGGTGGAATGCTAGCTTTCTGCCCAGAAGTCAAGGGAGGAAATTGCACTGCTACGCAAAGTGGAGGGAGAAAATAAGAGAGGAAAAAAAAAACTTTCTTAACATCCACAAAGCCTTTCCTTAATCCTTCAAGAGCAGGCAGCACACTAGCTCCATGGTTCCTGTTTGGCTTTAACTCTGTTGTATGCAGCTGTCTCTTAGACTCCCAAAGAAAACAGAGCTAGAGGCTGTCTCAATGGGGCTGCTGTGTTGGCCCTGCGGTGAAAAGTTCCCTCCCTCTCCTAGTTTTAGTTAGAATTGCTGCTCTTTCTTCTGCTGCTGGCTCCGCATTTGCCTTTAGAAGGTGATGTGGCAGCCTCAGTGGCCAAAGTATGCTGGGGGATTCAGACAGGAGACTATGGGGTCTGATGTGCCCCAGATCCAGCATCTAACAGAGCTCCCCATATTCTACAAGCCCAACACATATTTGTAGGATGCAGCATTCTATCCAACCACACAATCTTGGAACCAAACAAAGAAAGAATAGCTTAAAGCAAAAGGGGGGCGGGAAAAGTAACCGAGTTTTTTCAGTTTCATCTACCACACTGACCCAAAGAAGGTAAACATGGTATCTAAAACAGAACAACAACCTGGAGAGATTTGAGACCTGCAGGATTGTATGTAGCTGGCCAGAAACAGGTTGATTATTTTAACATGTGTGTTGGCCCCAGTGGTTCCTTGGCCCCAATCCCCTTCTTAATAGATTTTGGCAGGAAAAAAAGAAAGAAAGAAATGTCACCGAAACAAATAATGTAATTTATCCCAAGCAAAAGTATTTTATACAATGCCCTGAAAATTTCGATCTGAGCCTTAGACAACCTTCTCTACTCCAGCTCTCCATGTTCAGATCCCACCAGGGTCCAAGCTTAGCTTATTGCAGCTCTCCTCACAAAACATACTGTTACCCCTTTCACCAAGCTAACTCCTCCTTTCTCCTTCTCTGTATGTGTTAACTTTTCCTTCTAGAAAAAATCATTAGCCAAGTGCCAGTGGTTCAGGCTTGTAATCCTTAGCTACCAAGGAAGCTGAGATCTGAGGATAGTGATTCAGAGCCAGCCCAGGCAGGAAAGTCCATGAGACTCTTATCTCCAAAAATTTGGGAGTGGTGCTGTGGCTCAAAGTGGTAGAGCACTAGCCTTAAGCAAAAAAGCTCAGGGTCAGCAGGGCCCAGGAACAGAGTTCAAGCTCCATGAGAAGAAAGCAAGCAAGCAAGAAAGAAAGAGAGTGAAAGAGAGAGAGAAAGAGAGAGAGAGGGAAGGAGGAAGGAAGGAAGGAAGGAAGGAAGGAAGGAAGGAAGGAAGATAGATTAGACTGCTGGCTTTTTGAAGGTCACAATCTATATCTAGTTAGCCTTTGACAATCATCAAAGCACTTAACACAAGCAGAGAGTGATGGCACCATCCTATAATCTCGGCACTTGTGAGACTGGAACAGGCAGATTCAAAGTTCAATGCCAGCCTGGGCTATACAGTGAGAGACTATCTTCTCAAAAAAATAAAAAGAAAAAATTTTAAAGATTTTCACATAGTTTCTAACAATAACTATATAAAGCCAAATTTTCTCTCTGCCATGTTTCTGAGTAAGTTAGGTACTAATTATCTAAGCATTTATCAGTTCTATAACCATCAATCCTAAGGACGACATGTCTACTCTACAAATAACTTAGAAAATTCTGAAAACTATATCACTCTTCATAATGAGCCTATTTCAAGTGGAATCTTCTTTGATAGGGAATATCAAAATGTACAATGCAAAAAGGAATGACTTTCTGAGATCCTGTGAAGCGAAGTGCCTGGAATTTGGAGAGCTCAACAAAAGCAAGGAGCTCTGTGTTAACTAAGAGGATGCTTTTGGAGTTAAGAGTCTTCAGTAATTTGCATCAGAGTGGGGATTCTTCACTAAGTCCCTATTCCAAGTAACTGGTGGTATATGAGAAAATGTAGTAATGGAGGACACCATTCAATGTCTTCATTCAAGTGTAATCACCTTCCATGGATTCTCCAACTGCATTTGAAGTTTCTATCAGGCTCTTTAGGCTGAAAAACACTCAATTAATAGTTATTACATTATGGATGTTGATATTTCCTATTAAAGAGGACCAAAAGCTCATGATAGAGGTGAATGAAGTTGTCTTCATTCTCTAAGTTTAGTTATTTATATAGTAGATATGTCTTCCTTAGGTTGTGATGGAAACAGAACTAATGGGTGTTTTAGTAATTAATACTTAACTATTACATGTTAAATATAGTATATAATATAAATAATATAACTTATAATGTATGTGGTATAAGGAAGGCTTGAGTTCATTTTGTTATTAATTGTAGTTGACACTACTTGAAGTATTAATTGGAACCAATTCAAATTAGTCCAGGATAAATAGACCCAGATAGACTATGGTTGAAGAATTATCAAGAACTGAGCAGCTCCAGGCACCAGACTCCTAAAGGGCATATTTTGCTCTCTTAACATCTCTGATTCATTCCATTAATTCCTTTTCCATGAATTCCTCATTCCCTCGTTTCGCTGGACCGTTCTGATTCCCCAGGCCTTTATTTCAGCTTCTGCCCCCACTACATTTCAGTCTCTCAGTTTTTATCTCTCAGTTCCCAGCAGGGGGGATATTCTTACCCCTACTGATCTTTTCCCTCTACATTATAGATCATAAATCACAGTTCACAGCCAACCAATGGGCTGGCTGCGCTTGAGTCAGGGCCCCATTCCTGGTCCAGTCAGCTATGACCAAAGGGAAGAATCATTTACTTCCTAATAAGCCACAGCCATGATCATGGAGAGAATAAGTTTCCTTGGAATGAGGAGTAGTTTGACTTAGTAACAAACTGTAGTCTAAGGAACCATCAAAATACAAAACTACTGCCAGGATCCCATGCACCTGTCACTCATGCAGGATCCCAACTTCACACACTTGAAAGAAAAGACATAACAGGAAGCCCCTGACTGAGTGGAAATTTGGTTATGGCTGAGCCTTAAGCAGTTACATGTCTCAGACAGAGAATACACATGGAGTAAACATACTGGCAAAGAGAAACCTCTTCTCATGCCCACTTTAGATATGTAGCTCACATCAGTACCTGCTGTGCTCTTCCGAATCATGCTGCTTTGTCCAGACCCAGTTTGGACTGATGAAAACCAAAACAGCCCCATTCTGGGACCTGGAGACCCTCCCCCACATTAAGTTGGACACCAGTGATTTATACCTATAATCCTAGCTACTCAGAGGTGTGAAATCTGAAGATCATGGTTCAAAGTCAGGAGAGGCAGGAAAGTCCATTAGACTCTAATCTCCATTTAACTACCAGAAAGCCAGAAGTAGAGCTGTATCTCAAGTAGTAGAGCACTATCTATAAGCACAAAAGCTTAAGAACAATGCCTATATCCCAAATTAGAGTTCCAGGACTGGTACAATAAAAAAAATTCGTCCAGAAGAGGTTACATTTCAATATCTGATGTGGAAAGGGTTTCCTGGAAACCCCTGAAAGTTGAGACATGGAACAGTACAAGAGTCTGGCAAAGTTGGGAAATACAGAAAAGTTCAGTATCTGTGGATAATACAAGACTAATCAATTTCTGGGTCAATCAAGTGAGTATATCCACAGCTGTTTCCTCCTGAGAGGGTATACCCAGGTCTGCTTGAGGACAAGCAGGTCAGACTGGGTCTCTCCATCTGAGGAATGTGCTGCCACGTGTGTCAGACTATGGAATGTCTAAGGCCACCACATCCTTAAGGATTTAAACGTCCCTTGATGGGAAATCAGCATCCCTCTATGATCCCTGCGGTTTCTCCCAGGCACTGCTGACTTCTTGCTTCTTCTGTTTTTATCTCTCCCTCTTTGTTTGTCCAATACCAGCTGACAGGCCTTTTCCTATACTCCCCAAGGCTCTAGTGGCATGAGGCTATCTTCATGGGGACTTCTACTAAAGCATCAGGGGCTGGGAGAGAACATTGTGCTACTGTGAACATGACTCTTCCTTCCATCTATCTTCCATTCTCACAACTGGGAGCTTTTGCCACCATCCCCTCAGGATGTCCTCGAAGCAAATAGCTCATGTCCACTCTTTTCTATTTATCTCTTAGCAATTGCCCAAAAGCCCCAGGTCTGCTACTTACTCATACAAAGCAGTTTGCATTAGCCAGATCTGTCTTCCAGTAATCGTAGAGGACACCAAAACCTCTGTATTAAAAACAGGATAGCTGAGGATTTTTATGCTTGCTGGCCTTACCCATCTGTACTCTATCTGTGGAGGGTAAAGGGTGGGATTTTTCAGGAGAGAGGTAGAAATTCACCCTCAGGTACTGCTGTTGTGGATTCTCTGGAGTCTGTGTGTTTACTCCACCAATTTTGACCAAATGAAAATATATGTCAAAGCTTCCCTTCTCTTCCTGTGGATTGCAAAACTCTCCCAGGTTCTAGAATGTGTAAACACAGACATATTGGAGGGGAAACTCTGACTCTCCCTTTGGTCAAACCCTAAGGCCTTTATGTTGGGGTTTTTTATATTGTTGTTGTTATTTGAGTTTGTCAGGCAAACTAGGACCAAGAGACTAAAGGATAGCCTTGATGGATCAGGAGTGAGCATGTGCACACATTTCTTCAGTCTAGGCATTGCCTGTTGTGAGACAAACGCCATGGGGGCTGGCCCATGACTGGAGGGATGGCTGAGGTATACAGGAAAACCTGGGAAAGGATCGGGACAGGTTTTATGCATTTATTATGTCTAAGTTCTTGGAAAGTTTGCAAACTAGAGAAAAGCAATGGTAAATCTTTTTAAAATTCATATAGTAATGTATGCCAGTGGTGGAGGGAGAGGGTGTTTCCTGGAGAAGACATCACAAACCAGGCCAGAACTTGACCTTTAAGTCACTCCTTTGCTCTGGATCTGATGGTCCTCTCCATGAAGGCCCCATCATCAGTTAGAGTTCAGAGGTGTCAGGATTAAAGTTATAAATTCACAAGTCATCAGTATGTGGATGAGATCCCTCCATGACTGTCTCTATTTTCTGCTGCTATAAAACAGTGGCTGAGAGTGAGTAACATAAAGAAAAGAACTCTATTTCTTACAGTTCTGGAGAGTTCTATTTCTGGGGCACATATCTAGGGGCCACCTTTTGTTGAGTCATGTTATGTCAAAGTAGAAGGAAAAGAGAACATGTAAAAAAAGACAGCAGTAGAATGAAGAGAGGACCAGCTGGCCCTTTCAACAAGGGTAGTCTTCAGATGACTAACTCACTCCCAAGAAAACAACATGAATCTGTTTGAGAGGGTCTACAGTCATCTCATTTTTTATTCTTTTTTTGGGGGGGGGTGTGAGGCCTGAACTCTGGGCCTGAGTGCTGTCCCTCAGCTCTTCAGCTCAAGGCTAGCACCCTACCACTTGAGCCACAGCACAACTTCCAGGTTTTTTCTGCTTTTGTGGTACTGAGGAATCGAACCCAGGGCCTCATGCATGCAAGGCAAGCGTGCATGAGCACCCTACCTCTAAGCCAACTTCCTAGCCCTCTAGTCATATCATGGCACTGGGATTATAGTTCTACTTCAGGAACTCTGTATGACACACTTCAATCATATTATTCTGAAAAAGGAGTTAAGATACAGTGGACAGCAGGTTCCAAGATTGTGCCATAGTCTTACCTGGTAGAACTGCTATTATACCTACTTTATTAATAAGGAAAACACCATTGGATGGTAACTGCCTCACCCAGTATCAAGTGAACATTGGGACTGGGATTTAACCTGGGTAATCTGACACACAAACTGCTCCCATCCATTTTACCGTAGTGGACACATACATGCAGCAAGCTGCTTTGTCTTCAGGTGCCAAATCTCTTTACAGGAAGAAGACGATGATGGTCTGCCTAAGAAAAAGTGGCCTACTGTAGATGCCTCTTACTATGGTGGGCGAGGCGTTGGAGGCATAAAAAGAATGGAGGTAAGCGAATAGCCTAGTGCACATTTAGCTCTGGAGACCCATGGCAAATGCTGACGTGGGATCTGGTGCCTGAGATTCTGGTGAGAATGTAGATGGTGGAAGAGATGGGAAATAGCAAAGTGGGAGGTGTAGCCTTTACTATGCACCTCCATGTCTGTGGGAGTCAGAACAGGTCATTCACTTGCTCAGATTCCTTCATGGTTTCCTTTCTCACTTAATAAAATCCAAAGTTTTCTGGCCTTTACATGCTTTGTCCATTGTCTGGATAGTTCCTCCCCTGAAAATTGATCTCTCTTTCTGTCTCTCTCTCTGTCTATTTTTCTCTCTGTGTGTCTTTCTTTCACTCTCTCACCCTCTAAGCAGTTGAGGATTGGAAAGTCTGTGTGTTGCACATTGCAATCATATGCATGCTTGTCATTCCTACTCTCAAAGGGCAGCCTATTATATTTTGTCATTTTATTTTATCGTATTTTCTTTATTTTAGGTTCGTTGGGGAGAGAAGGGCTCCACAGAAGAAGGTGCTAAGCTAGAAAAAGCAAAGAATGCAAGAGTCAAGATGCCAGAGCAAGAGTATGAATTCCCTGAGCCTCGAAATCTCAACAACAATATGCGCAGGCCCTCTTCTCCCCGGAAGTGGTACTCTCCGATTAAAGTAAGTCTTTATTATTTTTTTTAATCCCTCTAGGACTCTCTTTTCCTGGCTGTGAGTGATCTCCTTTATTCTCCACCATTTCTCTTTCCCACATAGCTTAAGACTTTAAAATATGCTAGTTTATTGGAAACTTTAAGATGTGATGGCAAGTAATGTTCCCTGAAGGTCTCTTTTCCTCCTCTGGAATGCAAATGGCTTTAAATACTTGGAGCGGGTCAGTACCTGCTTTTCAGCCTTGCCTTAATCTTTCTGTACTCTGCCAGTTGATAATCATAGAAACTTCCAACTGAAAAGACTGTGTCCCCACTCACCTACTTCATACAGAGAAATTAAAAAAAAAAAAACAAGAAGAACAAAGACCCTGCTCTGCTGAAGTTTGGAACCTAAAACCCAAGTCAGAGCCACAGTCCAACTTCCATGCTGCAAACAGAACCAGACCCAGTGCAAAACCTGAAATAACAGACTCACCGTGGGAGCCAGCCCCTATTCCCTGCCCACATCCACAGACTCACCCCTCTCCCAATGGCAGCAAAAAAATTATTGCTGTCATTCTTCGAGTTACTTGCTCGTGTTATAGCAAGTTTTCTACAAAATCAACAGAAATGTCATTTCTTTTAGAGTGGAGTAAAAACTTCATTGATAGTTGCCTTTTCTCAGATGAGCTAGCCCTAGTCACATGAACTGTAGTGCAAGTTCATTTGGAATGCCATGTTTTAAGCAATGGGATTCTTATCTCACATAAACCTCCCTAGGGCAATGGATTGAACTCTGGGTAGATGTGGATGACAGACAGCTTAGAGGAGCAGCAGCTGTGAGCGCCCAATGCTTGTCTAATGAGTAACTGGCAGTGACATGCAGACACTTGCAAACTGGGAGGAGCCAAATGGACTGGGATTTTTCTATTCTGTCACCTTCAGGAATCTGTACATGGTTTCTAACACATCTTTGATTGTGGCTGAAACTCCATTTTTGTAATTTTGGGTATTGAGAGCACATAATCATTTGAAGAACTGAATTTCTCTTTGAGAGCATGTTATTACTTTATTCACTGAGGGTTTAGAACTGAGTTTTATGAAACAAATGAGGATATAGACAAACACATTTAAAAATCTAAGAGTAATCCCAACACTGCTCGGAATTAGTATCAACTTAATGAGTTCTGTCATGCAGCTACTATGTGCCAGCCACTGCTGGATATTAAATGTACAGAGTTCTCAGACCTTTCAAAATGCAGATTCCCAGAAGCCCTCCTAAATCACATTAGATCTTACATCATGTCCATTTTGTCTCACTCACTGAGAAAACTGCTTTTACTGTCCAAGGTCTGCATTTTCAGATTTCACAACCAAATTCCCCAACTGATGCTCAATGAGTTTCCTCCTGAGAACCGCAGGTTCTCAAAATGTGGGCCCCAGAACCCGTGTCATTAGCCTCACCCAGAAACCTACTAGAAATGCCTATTTGAGGGTCCCAAATAAGATCTGCCAGATCAGAAACTTCAGGATTGAGGCTCAGACATAGTCTGAGGTTCTCAGTGGTAGCGCCTAGATAACTAAAACAAGCAGAAACTATGTCCGTGCCCCGAGGATTGCAAACTCACCACAGCAGATGTGACACTGGGGCCATGTTCACTCCTCACACATGTTACACATGTGCACATGCCGCGTGCCTAGTGGAGCAGACAGTGCCAGCACATCCTCACTCTTTTGCGAAGCAGATGTGCAAGTACCCACTGGTGGCATCACTCATGCTTATGAGCCTTCTCTCTACCAGATTCCACCCCCTGTTGGTACCATTTATGCTTTGAAGCCCCAATAAATAGCATTGTACCTAGCACCAGCTCTTGTTGAAGTGCTGAGACATGGAGGTAATCTTGAAACCCTTCTCAGAGTGCCATGCTGGTGGACACACCCTGTTCAGGAAGATGACATTCCTCTTACCCTTTCAGAGGGAAGGGAAGAAAGACTCATCAGATATGTACCTGGGCTGAGCACCTGACGGTTCTTGAAGAAAGATAGAAGCAAGAACAGTAGTACAAAAGGTATTCTTCCTCTAGAAAAAGGGCAGCGTTTTCCCCCATACTGTTTGACAAGACACATGCTCCCTGCTGAGCTCTGTTTTAACTACAGCGCCTGTAGGTATATGCCAGATCTTGGACAAAAAAAAAAAAATAAAATGAGTCTCATATGGCATCAAAAGTGCTACTGCTCCTTCCTGAATCTTCTCAGCATTCATCACAGTCCTGTTCTGAAATGGAAGACATGCTCCAAAGGATTCAACTAACAGAGGATGGGCAGGGTCAATGCCCTCCACAGAGTGGGTGATGTAAAAGGGACTTGCCATAGGAACAGGTGTCACCCTATGCCTCTCTCCCAAGGGGAAAATGGAGTCAGTAGACCTAATAAAAGCCATACCCCTGGGGAAGAGACTGAGTGCCCCATCAGCAGCTGTGGTCCTGGGGCATCAGTGGTCAAGCTAAACCTGCCCCATCATTTACTTATGTGTAACCTCCAAGTAATGCGTGGCTTTTATACTTTTAAGTGGTTTGGTGTTTGAGGGAGGATATTCATTTAATGTATTCTGTTTTGTTTTTATCAGCATCTATGAATTGTACAAAGGCATTTTATTGCCATATTTACATAGATGTGCACAAAACACCCTGGTCAAATTTACCCCTTCTTCCTCTCTCTCATCCCTCCTTCCCCCTTCTTAAAACAGCTTCAGTAGGTTTCATTTTCATGGACCATGCTCATCTTCTTGAGCAATCTCTGCTGACCCTGTCCCCTTCCCTAGTACCTGCTCTTCATCGGAACCTATTTACATTTCTCCTTTTTTGTTGTTATTTTAAAGGTAATGTACAGAAAAGTTACAGTTACATAAGTCAGGTAGTGTCTGTCGTTTTTGGGGGGCGGGGGAAACGGGGAGTTCATTTCGATAAATATCATTTTATATGATCAGAGTCATTGTACCTTTGTGTTCTCCCCCTAAGAATATCCTCCTTTGGTCTCATTGTGCTGTCTTACATTTCTGTCATTTATTTTGTAGTATGTAGTATTTATACGAAGCAATTCTACCCTGTTATTTCATCCTTGCTTATATTATACTTTAATCACCATAACCTGTTCTGTTGTCTCTCTTTCCTGCCCCATATACTCTAGCCTCAATAGCTTTCAGTGCATTTCTTCATGCTATCTTCATGCATAGATGCAATATATTTTTATGTAATTCACCCTTCCTCATTCTTTTCCCCTCTCTTCCTTCCATTGGTCATCCCAAACAATCCCACAGTTGTGATCACGCTGGTTATGTTTTAAATAGTTATATAAGTACTTGCTAACAAAATGTTGCCCCTCCATCTGAAAAGCTTGCAACCATTACTCTGTGGCCCTTTCCTGCAGATGTTCACAGGCCCCTAGCCTAGGAATGCAGCTGCTGCTGAGGACAGGGAGGCAGGAAGGGCACAGAAGGAACAAATACCCCAACTTATTCTCATCTTGCCCTCTCATTCCTTTTGTATCTACCTCTTGACCAAAAGGAAGCCAGCTAGTATATAGGCAGGGAGCAAAGGAGGCAGAGAAATGCAGATAATGCACGGAGACAAGCAATTCATTTAGAATGACTCACTCAAGCTGTGCCTGCCTTCTGTGCCCACTAGAAAGAAGAAAAGCAGCTCCACCTAATACAAAACTTTTAGCAGAGCAAAGCTAGACATAGTAATACACACGTGTAATCCTAGTACTCCGCAGGCAGAAGCGGGAGGATTAAAGAGTTTACACCAGCCTGGGCTACATAGGGAAATCCTGTCAAAGAAAAGGAAAGGAAGGGAGGGGGATGAGATGGGGAGGGGTAGGGAAGGGAAGAGAAGGGCATTCCTAACTCCCCAGCAAACAAGGTCAGAGGCATAGACCTTTCATTGGATTGCACTGAACACACTTTTTCCATGCATTCCATGCAAGAGTTGAGAAGCAGGTGAGCACAGTCACTGAGGCAAAGCCCAGTGGGAATTCAAGGAGGAAGAGGACGACAGTGGTCCTCCACCCACCGTAGCCACCCACCATAGCCCCCAGTCTAATTTCGGGCACTGACCGCACCAACCACACATCCCCATCCTCATTCCAGGCCCATGATCAAAATACTTTCCCCTGATATTTAGGCTACATTTTCCTTTGCTTGGTTTTTCACCTCCCGGATTTACAATACCCCATGCTTCTCATTAAATTGGGACTGACCATTTCAGACAAGTTAAGTCATACCCAGCTATAAAGCCACCAGCTAGATTAAAACCAGAAGTGGTTGCAGATTTGTTGGAAGGCTTGTGACCTTCAAGAAACCGCTTGGCTTTTTCTCCAGGAGCTTCTTCTCTACATGACTACAGGTGACAGAAATGACAGCTGAAGGACAAAAGTTTGATCCTGGCTTCCCAGGCAGGAGGGAGTAGGGAATGGTGCCAGCAAAAGAGGCAATCTGGAAGGGGCAGTTAGTTTGTTCTACTTTTGGATCAGAAAGGGTGGGGGTCTTCTGTTTATTTACACACCTCGACCTTGTAGACAAGCAATGTTCAGCTTTAGCACTGTGCTACATGAAGCTGTATATGGCAAAGCAAGACATCGATACCAAAGCACAATGTGTCCTCAGACATGCTGTTGAAGTTAAACAGATTTTATGTGTCTCTCTCTGGCTACTTTGTGGAATAATTCTAAACTTGTCATAAAGATCAAACTTATAAAAAAATCAATTACCTTATGTGTGCACAAATAGGGAAATCTTCCAGCTTTACTGATCAATTAAATTTATTAAATTTATTCATTAATCTCATTTGAAGAGAAGCCCAGGTCACACTTAGCAGACATTCTAAGGGATGGAAAGAAATTCAGGTGTCACTTGCACAACAACTCTCTAAATGGAACTGCCCTCAAAATTCTCAATTTCTCTCTATCTTCCAAATAGCTAAAACAGACAGATCAGAAGAGAAGACACAGCTGCTGTCTGGCACCCATCAAAAGAGGAAATCCAGCCCCTAACACCCAGGCATCAGGGGGCTTTAAACAACAGTTTCAGACACATTCCCAGCCAAGTCTTATTGTACAGAAAGAAGCTGGCGTTTGCATAGAACTTTCAGTCTATGGATTAAAATTATTGTCTGAGGCTGAGTGAAGCAGTTTAGGAGCCTAGAATGGTAAATTTTTCATTTCATAGTCTAATCACGTCAGCAGCATAGGGAAGAGAGCTATTTTTAAATGTCAGCTAATACAGTCTGGCAGAGGGCTCCGAGGTTTGTGGTGAAATCTTTGTCATAGCTTCACAGGAGCAGTTGGGCATTTTGCCTGGGAAGTGAGGTCCAGTGTCTTCAGTACATCCTGTGGAGAGGCTTGCGCCTGATGGACACCCAAATCAGAGATAAACAGAGTGGTGTCAACCCCTATGTCTCCTCTCCGGCATTAGGAAAAGCCTAGGGACCAGTGGGAAGAAACCTCGGAGACACTTCTGGCTTCAAAGAAATGTAATGAATACATCCATTTACTACTGTGTTTCAATGCACACTTCGGCCTACATTCAGAAAATCCAGGCTCTAAAGGCCTTTCATGTTCTTGTTCTCTTCTTTGACTTCAAAGGTCTGTGGAAGTTTTAAAATCCTTTTCACCAGTTGCAGCTATCCTTTTTCTATAGCTCACTTCAACACTTGCATTAAAAGTTACCCTCAGCCAGGCACTGGTGGCTCATGCCTGTAATCTTAGCTACTCAGGAGGCTGAGATCTGAGGATCACAGTTCAAAGCCAGTCCCAGCAGGAAAGTCATGATACTCTTATCTCCAATAAACCACCAGAAAACCAAAGTGGTGCTGTGGCTCAAGTGCTAGAGCACTCACCTTGAGCTGAAGAGCTGAGAGACAGTGCGTAGGCCCAGAGTTCAAGCCTCACAACTGACAAAAAAAGTTACTTCAAAGCCAGTGGCTCATGCCTATAATCCTAGCTACTCAGGAGGCTGAGATCTGAAGATTGTAGTTTGAAGCTAGCCCAGGCAGGAAAGTCTGTGAGACTCTTATGTCTAATTAATCACTGGAAAAAAAAAAACTTAAAATAGTGCTGTGACTCAAGTGGTATAGTGCTAGCCTTGAGCAAAAGGAGCCCAGTGACAGCACCCAGGCCTGGAGTTCAAGCCTCAAGACTAGCACAAAAAAAAAAAAAAAGTTTACCACAAAAGGAAGTATTCAATCAGGGAAGTTATTGGAGAAAACGCCTAATTGAATGTATAACAGAAGATAAAGGCCTGGGAAAGGCAGCAACCATAGAGATGATGGAACATACCTGGACTGGAAGAAGTGACCAACAGGAGAGCTTCTGCAGAGAGATAATCCCCAAGATAGGGTTGTTGTTGGACATAAGGACGTGACCAAGAAAGAGGTCAAGAGTGATACTCTGATGTCCAGCTTGACCACACAGGAGCCAAGACAGGGTGTGAGAAAGGGGAGCAGATTTAGGAAGAAGAAAGTTTGTTAATTTGCAATGGTTAATTTTTGATGCCTGTGGAACCAGGACATTACAGTGAACCTTAGATAAGTCATTTGATGCCCAGAGCTAGGCCTTAAGAGAGAACCAGAATGAACTAGAATGTGTGAGGTACGAGTCTAGATGAGTTTGTAGACCACCACTGAGTCAAGCATCAGCAGAGAAAAAAGGAGACAAAGAAGCTGAAAGGACTAAACAGAAAAGGAGAAGGGAGTAAGTCAAAACTGGCATCCAGGCCACGGGAAAGTACCCAAAAGGGATAGCCCAGTGCAGCAGATCTCACAGTAAAATGGGTATCAAGGCATTTGGCAGTCAAGATGCAATGGGCAGCCGTAGTGAGAGCAATTTTGGTGGAGTGATTGGGACAGGAACCTATTAGAACACCATGGAGAGGAACCAAATTGTGCTCTGGGAGAAAGGGCCTGAAAGAACACAGAACAGAACAGAAGGCAGATAGATCTACACTTACAAAACTACATTTATTGAATTTATGTACTGGATTATAATCTTATCTACAGGTCATTCTCTAAAGATTCTTTTAATGACTTTACTAGGTTCACAAATAATATATAGTGAATATTTTCTCTGAGACAAGTACCCATCTTCAATATTTAATTTTTAGACCTTTCTAAGTCTGAAGAATAAACAATATTATCCCCATCTTTAAAATAAGAATGGAAAAGCCACACTTTTTTTCAGGCTCTCTCAACTGTGTGTAAGCCTATTATATTTGTGCAGGGTGAATTTGCATTTGTTCCAGTGTTAACTTTTCTTTTTTTCTTTTCTTTTTTTTTGGGGGGGGGGGCCCGGTTCTGGGGCCTGAACTCTGGGCCTGGGCGCTGTCCCTCAGCTCTTCAGCTCAAGGCTAGCACTCTACCACTTGAGCCACAGCACCACTTCCAGCTTTTTTCTTTTTGCTTATGTGGTACTGAGGAATCAAACCCAGGGCCTCATGCATGCAAGGCAAGCACTCTACCACTGAGCCACCTTCCCAGCCCCCAAGTGTTAACTTTTCACATATGCTTTCTGGGAAGGGATTTATTGTTGTGTGATTTACTTACATTTTGATTTCATTTTTTAAATGCTTAATCAACTACTCAGATATTTGGCAATTCTACTCTTCCTCCAATTCAACTGAGTTATTGATCAATAGCTTACATATACTTTTGTCAGAGTTTGTATGTTGCAGTCATCCTAGATATGAACTTCAACGAAATAATAATATTTTTAAGTTGAGTGTAGAGGCAGTAATATAAAGGAGAAACAGATGCACAAACAATCCATATTGAATTTTTCAAAAACAAACATTGTTTCTCAAAAGAGGAAGAGACGGGCTGCATTTCCAGTCATAATATATCTTTCTATAGCAATATGCTTGTTTTATATGTATGTAAGTGGTGACAGTTTAAGGAAAAGTTCTTGTAAATTATTTCCTTGTAAAATTTATTATTATACTAAATTTTCTATGCAAAAAATGAGAATGGAGAGATGACTATGATAGAAGTACATTATATATGTATAGGATAACAAAATCCACTAAACACTTTTGGAAAGGGGAGGCGGGCTTTACAATATAGGTTGTCTTGGCTCATTTGCTATACATATAACTTCAAATTTCTCTGAGTTAGTTAATGTACTTTCTTAACAGCAAACTTTTCTTCTTTCAGCCTCATTTGCTTCTAGTTTAATCAAGGAGTTGAGGGATTAGCACATAAACCCAACGCTGTGGGTGGGCTGATTTACCAAGCCAAACACAGAGCCCCTCCTTCTCCAGCCAAGAAAAAAAAATAGCAAGAAAAAGACGGCATTCATCCAAGAAATCCACCTGGCTATACCCTGAACTATAAACACTTATCCCAAGAAACCTTCAAAAAAAATTAGCTGATGATGGAAATTATTTAATGCAGAAAACCATGCTGAACCCAGCAGCGGCTCTGTCCAACACTCTAAAATCATTTCAAAATATTTTGAGAGGTTTTGGTAAATTCCTTTCCAGAGGAGATGAGATACATTACACTTGGAAAGATAAAGCTTCACCCACACAAACTCATGCAATAGTTGACAAAGGTTCAAGAGTACAGTTGTTTGGAAGGTGTGTATAATGCACCAGAGAACAATTTAACAACATCATGATGATGGTTGGTAAGTTAATGCCACCACTGTGAATCCTTTGTGCTGAGCAACTTGAACTATCTAGATGCCCCAGCCTATCCAGAGACCTCTGCCAGCATATTCAAACATTCCTAACACCACCGAAGGAAATTCATTTTACATTTTAGTTCAAGATATATTCCCTATGTATACATGCATACTCATACACACACCACTGAAACAAAATTTTTACAAAATAATACATATCCTCACCATGCACAATTAACTATTCCATTCTTTCTATGCTATATAATGCCATCCATACCATTCTATACAAATTCTAATCCTAGGTCATGAAATTGGTCTCAGAAATACTTAGAGTTTCAGCCCACAATATAGAAAGCATATACTGAAAGTTCTACATCTCCAACCAGAAGATCTTCATGAGAAAGATGACTGTGAATCATCCTGACTTTGCCTCTCTCCACATATCTTCTCTGACCCTCACCCATTTATCTCCCTTTATGAAGGATTTGTATGATGGCATTGGGTTCACCTTGGTAGACTGGGTTATTTTCTTCATCTCAAGGTCCTTAATCCTATTTCCTACGACCTTTTTGCTTTGTGAGGTAAAATATTCAGAAGTTTCAGGGAGTCTGTTTTAGGAGTCCACTTTATCATATACTTTAAAAACCTTAATGCAGATATATTTGTGCTTCTTAGACTCAATCAATAACATAATCTCCAAAATGGTTTTGATGTGGGGAATCTGTGATATTAGGACTTTTGTCTCCAGAGCCAAAGCAAATTATGGCTGATGACTGAGCCAAGCAGACATCCAGGGATCTGTATCCCATGGGTCTTGCCATGTCAAGGAAGTAAGGAATATTCCTGGTTTCCTGAAATTGTCATTATTGTTTTCTCCTATGATCTTTGCTACCAAGAAGAAACTTTAGTGAACGTGCAAAGGAATGACTTGTGGTGTTAAGATGGCACTAGGAATGTGGTAAGGAGAAAAGCTAAGACCCCTGAGTGAGCTTTGGTTGGCAAATTTGTGGTACACTTCGCTGTCAGGCTCTCTCCTTCACCAGCATCAGGGTATTCTTCGTGTGTCTCTTCTCCACGGTCCCAAAGCCTGAATTTTTCATTTACGGATGGGGGGTCACAAATGCTACCACAAACATGTTGCCAGAGTTTTACTGTTCACATGATAGGAGAAGAGTAGAATTCTATGTGTCCACAAAGCCACTGATTTGCATGTGCCACTGATATGCATTCATGATCTTGGTGTATTTGTTTCATTTCAGGGAAAACTCGATGCCTTGTGGGTCTTACTAAGAAAAGGATATGATCGTGTGTCAGTAATGAGGCCACAGCCAGGAGACACGGTAAGATTTGCTATGGGTCACACACACAGAGGATTTTGACAGATATATGAATGTGTTGGGTTGCACTTCCTAGAACTTGAGTTTCTCAGTCTACAGATGGAGAGTGGCTGACTCATTCTTCAGGCAGTCCCATGAGGGAGGCCTGTGGTCTTCAGCCACTCTGGCCAGCGGTAAGGCCTAAGTGCCAGCTCACAGGACAAGATAAGGAACTAAGTGCCCACAGAGAACCCCTGCCATCTGCAGCAAGTGTTGAGCCCAACAATTCAGGACCTGAAGGGGCACTTCCACCCTGGGTGTGGGTTTACCCAGAACTGTCTAGGCTAACTTTAGAGTATCTCCACCTAGGAAGAGTTTTACAAGTGGAGCTCACAGAGTCCTGAGAAACTATCCATCCCATGTCTTCATTTTGTAAATGAAGAAATGGTCAGAGGTTCCTGTTCAGAAAATAACAATGCTGGAAACAACCTCAGTTCTCTTGAAATCACACCATTGTTATTATCTTTTGTAAGAGATAATAACAGAGATAATACAGAGCAAGGCTTGGGACCAAATTTCCCTTAAACTACCTCAGTCTTCTTAGGAACCAGGCCTATTTACCAAAAAGCAAAATAAGAGTGTCTGATTTAGAAGTCTTTTCAAAGCAGGCAGCCGTGGGTTTGAATAATCTCTCTACATTTCATCTTTATAAAGTTGATGACAACTGCTGCTTGGTAGTGTGGCTGGTGGGAGATGGTTAACATCTGTAAAGCATGTTGCCCACTATTGAACTTGTAATTAACTCTCAGTCATAACAGATCATGATTATTGTGTGTTTCCCCACTCACTGTGAAGAATTGATGTAAAAATGTAAGTAATAATACTGTTGGTATGGATCACAAGGGCCATAGATATGGCCCTACCATGGTATCACTAATACACACTAGACTAGAACCTCGTAGACTGACCCCATCACTCTATTTCCCTTTGATTTAGTAATAGTGGGTGGTTTGGGCTGAAGGAGTTTGATCCAAAGTTTCATATCTTATGCAATTTACAGCCCAGCTAGCTCTTCTTGCTCCAAGTTCTAGCAGAAATGGCAAGCTGATATGTTGTGAAGCCAGGTCAGATAAATGTTGGGTCAACTTGGTCCCTATGGTAGACAAGAATTGAAAGCTTTTCCTATGAAAGCCAACAAGAAGCAACTTCTTCAACAAATTTTAAAGTGAAAACTCCACCGGTAACAAAAATGAGCACAAGCCATAAAGTTAGTACTCAAGGAGATATTTGGTTTTATAGGTTATATATCTGGTTTTAGAACATGAAATTTTTGTAGCAGTCATGAGACTCATCTAACAAATTAAGAAAAGTAACAAGATATCTAAGTAGGCATCCATAATAGTATTTTCATGGCAGAACATGTTGGCATAATATATAATCATTTTTTTCTTTCTTTTTATTTTTTATTTTATTATTTTTGTTGTTGTTCAGCAACTGGAAAACATGTCCATTAAAACATATTAACATTCCATTCTTCACTGATCAGTTTGGCAGAAATAAAGTCATAAACTGGGTCAACCTAAGAAATGGGAGGGGTGTTGAAAAGAGGAAAGCTAGAAAGACATAACATTTATATTCATAGTTTAGAGCCCAGCGCTGATTGTAGAAATCCAAGAACAATGGAATCAAAACTGGTGGAATTTTCTCTATTGAGTCACACCTAAATTAAATATCTTAATTACTAATGCCATGAACATTTGTACTAGCATTTGAAGATGTTCCATGGGCTTCAAAGAAATAATATCACCTTGAATACTGGCTTTCAATCACACAACTAATAGATTTGAGGCACAGGAGATCTAAGAATTACAATGCATTTCAACATATTCTCAGCATGATCTCTAATTAATACTGCCCAGTTTACTTCTAAACAGATTTTCATTGAAATCTTGCTAAAATACATGAGCAGTAGATTAAGAAAACTGTATCCTTGCAGTCGGGCAACAGCCACAGACTCCATGTACACACAAAACTACATAAGAACAGTCACCAATGAGTAGGAGTTGGAGTTCAGGGCTTGTTCATGGTTGGCTACACAGGAGAGAATTCAGAAACAGAAAGGACTACATTGCAGCTTGGAATACATGCTACGTTGTTTTGTTTTACAAAGGAGACTCACTCTCCTTACAGTGATGACTGAAAGAATTCCTCAGCACTGATTTATGGGACTGACCACATTTTCCATAAACTCAAAATGACCACAACCAGCCATGTGCTCGTGAACAAGAGTCACAGGTTCTGAGTATTTCCTTTAAAACAAAACAAAAACAATAATCACCTAATTACATTCTCAGTTGCTTCAAACACATGTTGACCTTGCAGAAACCTGGCAATTCTTCCTCCTCAGTTCCTGTCTGTTACCATCCTCCTCCCAGAAAACACACCCAGACATAGGGATTCAGGCCTAGCCCACCAACAGAGCCTCTGAGGCTGTTGAAAGTCCTGACTAGGGACTGAGAAAGCTTGAGCCCAGAGCCACCACCTTTCCCTGAGACTGGCACCCACCTCCTCAGAGCTGACCAAGGTCCAGGTCAGGAAAAACTGGAGTAGGATGACAGCAGAAGACAGGGCTCTTTCCCATCTGCTGTCATTTGGCACCCTCTTTCTGCCTAGGGTGGACTCATAGTTGTTCCTGGGACCCCCCCCCAAATCAGGAATCACTAGTACCAACATAAATAAAATAGTACCCAAAGAAACCAATTAAATGGTAAATAAGTAATATGTCTAAAATAGTAAACGTTTATTAATTGTATGTGCCCCTCTGCTTAAACCAGCCCCTGTATCCAGTAAATAAATAGCTTATGCTACAGGGCTTTTTCTGAAACACACATCTCAACGTGCCCTTCTTGGCTTCCAACTTGCAAAAAGTAGGGAAAAGCCAAGATTCCTTAGCTTGGCTTAGAAAGATCTCTCTCTCTCTCTCTCTCTCTCTCTCTCTCTCTCTCTCTCTCTCTCTCTCTCTCTCTCTCTCTTTCTGGTGCCACTTCTGGAGCTTTAACTCAGAGTCTCTCATTCTTGCTTAGCATTTTCACTCAAGGATGGTTCTCTAGCATTCAAGTCACAGCTCCACTTCCAGCTTTCTAGTGGTTAATTGGAGATAACAGGCTCTCAGCCTTTCTGCCAAGGCTTGTTTTGAACAACAACCCTTAGACCTCAGCCTCCTGAGTAGCTAAGATTATAGCTATCAATATTGTTGGATCAATTAATTAATAACCAAGCCCTGAAAGATGTCAGGCACTCTTGTATCTCAGAACTTTTGCCCATTCTAGTTTCTCTTCTCAAAAATGGCTTTTCCAACCTCTGTACTGACTAAAATTCTGTTAGGGTGGAATATTTATTATCTCCATGGCATCCCTGTAAATGTTTGCTGGCTAGATCCATGCTTTTAAGTGTGACATTGCAAAACAGAACATATTTGACAAAGACTAAGTGAAAAAGGGACCCTATGAGCCCCAATGTGTCCTACACAACTGGGCCACTCTTTGAGTTCAGAAAGTTTGCTCATCTTTCAGAGACAAATGCTTGAAGGGCTTTAGAATATTTGATCTGAGAAAGAAAATGTAAAGATACCATGAGGGTCATTTCTTGGCATGTTATACATCCCACTTTGCAATGTTTTTCTTTTACATAATAGTATCCAATGAGTAAGGTACAAGTAGAAGCTCCAAGGAAGATCAACTTCAGGAACTGATGGATGTGAATTTTAACAACTACACAGTTTGCACCAAGGTTGATATTCCAGTAATGGACATGGCCACACAGTGATAAAACAGGCTACCCATGAGGGAGAGTACAGTTTGGGTTTTGGTAGCAAACCAGTGATTTGTAGACTGGAGCAGCTGAAGTACCTAGGTTTGTTAAATGTAAATTGCTGGTCACCACCCTGAGAGTTTCTGATTTAGGCATACAGGTGAGGCTTGGGGATTAACACTTTACTTAGCAGTCACTGCAGTGATGCCGGTGCTACTGTTCTGAGGACCGTACTTTGAGACTCTAAGATAAAACTAATCAGAGGACCTTCACGCTTCCTTTCACTCTGAGAGCCTAGGATTCTAAGTCAACTTCTCTCTGACCACCAAAGTCACTATTCTCCTGCGTTCCTCCACAAGTCACCTACTGAAACAATCAAGGAAGCATTAGTTTAGCTTAAATAACTATTAATCCCTAGTCAGTGGCAGACAGCTCTGTTCTAGCTAGATTACTGATTTCAAAGACAAAAGGCTAAGGGAATTCAGATAACAGAGCTCATGAATTCCAGTGATTTCCAGCCTGGCTTTAAAGCATCAGTGCCCAAGTTCTAGGCCAAAACTTCTATTTAATTATGTAGGATATGGTCTGTGAATTTATTTATTCATTCATTTATTTTATTTATTTATAGTACTAGGGGTCAATCTCAGGATTTTATTCCTGCTAGGCAAGCCATATACCCCAGCCCCTTTTTGTTTCAGTTGTGTGTGTGTGTGTGTGTGTGTGTGTGTGTGTGTGTGTGTGTGTTTCAGCTAAGATATTGCTCTTTGTGCACAGGGACAGCCTCAAATCATGATCCTTTTAAGCCTCCAACATAGCTGGGATCACAGGTGTTAGTTACCATGTCCCCTGCCTGCCATTCAGAATTTAAATCTCCTCGACTGATTTTAATGGGTCCCCAAAGCTGAGAACCATTAAGCTGGTCCAAGTCCCTATTTTCCACACAGGCAACAGCATATTTTCTCCCTGACAAAATCTTTAGAAACCCTAGAAGCCTCGTGGGCATAAGAGCGGTGTGCTTTCCACAGCACCTTACCTCCCAAGGAACATGCTCAGCTGGATCTGGCTGCTGTTATTATAACTATTATAACTATTTGGGTACAAAGGATTGAATGGAGAAAATATAACTCTCTCATCTTTTCTGAGTAGAGTTTACTCTATCAACAGCCTAAGCCCTCCCCAAGCTTTTGCTCCAGCATGAACTCCATCCCTTGGCA